TTGATCTCTGGGCTGGTAGGTGTGAACCCCACGTTGAGTGTAGAGATGAATAACAATAAATAAATAAATGTTAAAAAAAGAAGAAGGAGGAATTAACAGAGACTAGTCCAAACCCTTAGCCAAGGCTGGGACCGTAACAGAAGTTCAAATCGTAGCTGTTTATGATTTCTGTTATCCTTATGACTCGCTTGGTCTTCCTGATTATTTCTGGTTGCTCCTAGTGGGGCCAAGAGCTCCTTTAGCTGCGGCCAGGTGACCTGCCATGGCAGGGCGCTGCCTTGTTCTGTGGCCTTGAGAATTTGCTGCAGTTTTGCTGTCTGCAAAATGGGCAGAGTGACATCATTTCCAGGTTCCCGACTCCACCATCAGCCGGGCTTCTTTCTGCTTCTCCCTCAAGACTGTGTCCAAGCTGCCAACACCCAGAGGACTCAGGGAGGAGGAAGGCAGCAGGTGTACCTGGCCAGCCTGGACTGTGGCCATTTCATGCGTCATGCGGGGAGTTCCAGCTCAAACCAGAAGGAGGAGGGAGAGGGCTAGCTCTCTGGGGCTGGGGTGCTCTCAGACCCAGGAGTCAGTGGAGGTACAGAGGGGTGTATGGGGACAGGGGCCGGGTCCAGCTCAGACACCTGGGGCCTGTGGGATTCTCCCACACTGAGGACATTAGGAGCATTGTATGGACAGGAAATGGAGGCACAGAGTTGGGGGGGCTCACACCCCTGATGCCCACAGATCCCCCTGCTAAAAAGACTCTTCTCAAAAGGAGAGTGGTGGGAGAAGGGGAGGAGCTTTGGAGAAGGAGCAGGGACCCCCTGAAGGGATGATGTCTGAGGGGGGGGGTGAGGGAGTCAAAAATGGGTGGGTTCATCCCATCCCCGCGGCTCCCCGCTCCTCCAGTCCGCAGGGCGCTCCTCCCTCTCCTCCCTGGGCCCCCTCCCCGAGTTTCTCCGCCCCTCCCTCTCAGCTCCTTCCCCCTCCCTGCTGCTTCTCCCGCGCTCCACCTTCCCTCCTCCGCACCCTCACGTCCCCCCTTATCTCCTCTCCCCTCCCCTCCCTTCTCCCCCTAACCTCCTCCCCTCCCTTCCCTCCATTCTCTCCTCCTCTCCCTCCCCTCCCGCTTCTGCCCAAACTCCTCCACCCCTCCATTCTCTCCTCCTTCCCACCCCTTCACCCCCTCCCTTGTCTTCCTCCACCTCTCCCCCCTTCCTAGCCCCCCCTCCTTTCCCCACTCCCCCTGCACTCTCCCCCCCGCCCCCTCCGCCCCCTCCTCCCGCCTCATTAGGCGCGGCCGCGGCGCGGGGCCCATTAGCGGATCAATTAGCCGAGGTCGCCGGCGGCGCGGTCGTTAAGCGCGGGAGGCCGCGGCGGGGAGGGGGCTCGGGAGGCGGCCCTTCTGCCCGCCCCGGCTCCGCGGCCGCGATCGCGCACCCTCAGGACGTTCTCGTCACCCTGCCCCACAGGGGGCTCCTGGACCCTCCGCAAACCCTCGGGGGACTCAGCCCCGCAGGCGGGATTGGGGGGAGGGGCTCCGAGGCCCGGAGGAAGACCCCCGAGGTCACAGGCCCTCCGTGGCTGGGCAGGGCGCCCCTTCTCCGGAGAAGACCCCTGGTTTGGGGTTGCCGGGTTTGTGACCACCCCCCCTCCCACCCCCCACGGCTCCCTTCATCTGCCAGCAACATCAGTAATAATAACATCAGCTGACAGCTTGTGAGCCCTTGCAGGCTTCCTGCTAATTCTCGGGAACAATTTCCCAGAAACTGAGGTCAGACAAGTGACTTCACTTGCCTCAAATCACTAGTTAGGGTCTGAGACAGGTATAAACTCAGGTCTGCGCTCAATAAATTTGCTAGCATTTATTGAGTTGCTTCTATGAGCAAATTAAAAAAAAAAAAAAGCAGCCAACACTCCCCATCCCTCGTTCTCTATCAACACATTCTGGATTTTCCCGGTTATCTGTCTATTCCAGCCGGAGGGCAGGAATTTGTCTTCTGTGTCCCTGGGGCTCCAAGTAGGTCCCACTAAATGAATGAATGAATGTGCGAGTCTCTGCTAGAAGCCTTTCCACGGATTAAATAATATGATCTTCATAACTAGGGCTTGTTCTGAGATCATTCCCATTTTACAGATAGGGAATCCAAGATCCGGAGGGGTGAAGCCACTTGTCTAGACTATCCAGCCGTGAGAGCAAGAGCCAGAGCCAGGATTTAAATCGAGGCTGGAGGCCCCCATCATGCCTGTCTGGGCCTCAGTCTTCTCATCTTGCCAAGGGGCTGACAACCCTACCTCCCACGGCCGTGATTGCTGGGCCGCCTGGATTATTCCCTGCAACCATGATGTGACATATTAATATGTTGCTTGTGCGGGACCTGGGTGGAGGGGCCACAGACCCCTGCTTTGGGGTAGGGTCGGGGGAGGACTTGAGAAAACTGATATCTGGAAGTCTTGGAGGATTACTACCCTGGGAAGGGGGGGAAAAAAGAGGGAGAACACTTCCAGACAGATCGAACAGCATGTGCAAAAGGCCTCTAGGCAAGGAACAGCAAGATGGTTCAAGCCTGCTGGAGTCATTGGAGGGGTGGGCAGCAGGACCAGCTGCCATGGAGGCCCCCCAAATCTTTTTTATGATTTTTTTAAAAATTGTGAAATGTAACACACAAAAAGGGCACAGATTGTAAGTGAACAATTTGATGATTACAGAGTGAACACACTCATGTCATCAGCCCCCAAGTTAAGAAATGGAACATGAGCCCCCTCTGCCCCTCCCCCACCCTCTCCCAAGGGTGACCCCATGACACCTGACACTGTAGGTCACTTGGGCTTGATTTTGTTCCTTATATAAATGGAATCACTCTGTATTTACCCTTTTGTCCCCAGCTTCTTTTGTTCAGCGTGCCATGAGCGAGATGCGGGGCGTTGAGTAGAGTGGTGGCTCGTACTTTTTTTTCGTGGCTGTGTCGTGTTTCCCAGGCATGACGATGTCACAGCTTAGCCATTCTGTCGATGGGCAGCGGATGGGCAGCGGGTAGCTTCCGGTTGGGGGAAGTGGGGAGGAAGGACAGCAACTCTGAACACCCTTGTCCGTGCCTTTGTGGTGGTTGGGAGCAGCACGGCTCTGGGGGTGGGGACCCAGGAGGGGACTTGCTGGGTGCCAGATTGCCTTCCAGGTGGGTGCGACACTTGGCATTGCAACAGTTTTCGCTCCCCAAGTGTCCTGGGTGAGTTTGGGTTTTCAGCACAAGGATAAATGCTAGGCAGGGAGCGACCCCCATCACATGGGCGTTTCGAGAGGTGCTATGGCTGCCATGGGGGGGAGGGCCGGGACCCAGGGGGAGGCTGGTGGGACCACCCAATCATGCTCCCCCCTCTTCTCCTCTTTCCTCAGGGACATGAGCCGTTTCCCCAGAGGTAAGCCGCCCATCCCCCCCACCCCCGTGCCCTTGGTTCACCTTGGGAACCTGCTAGATTGGGGGGCAGGTGAGAATTTCTTGGACTTCAAAAGTCCCCCCAGCTGCCCAGGTCCCTGAGGGTAAGGAATTCTATGCTGCCCCGCCCTGCCTCATCCTCAGCTTCGCCCCATATCCTGGGTGGGCAGCCTGAGGCCTCTTGGCCCAGGTGCCAGGTTCACTCCAGGAATCTCCTTTCCTTCTGGCTCCCCGGGTGGTCCAGCTGGGGCGTGGCAGGGAGACCTTCCAGAGGTCCTCCGGGGGTCAGGTTCAGCTGGGGGGTGGTCCTGTGTTCTCAGATCTGGAAAAAGGGTCTCTGTGGGTATGCAGCCGGGATGGATTCTGCAGTCTCAAAATCTTGTCTCTAAGAGAAAAGAACGCCACTTAGGAGCCCTCTGGCCTGGGGATCAGCAGTCAGCTCTGCTCAACTTCAAGCACCTGGGCCTGGCTGTGTGACCTAGAGCCTCCAGCTGACCCTCTCTGGTCTATGCATCAAGTTGGGGAGACAGCCCATGCTGGCAAGCCGGACTCCCCCCCCACCCCACCCCACACTCTCCCATCCTGGAAGGAGGCGGGAGCTCAGACGTGAGGGAAGCCCCCTCCTCCCATGGGAAGGGGGGCACCGCCGCAGCATCCCGCAACACAGAGGCAGGAACAAGGCAACCAACCTTCTCACATCTTTATTTGAAAGGCACAGCTAAGCCCACCCTCGATACAGCATTCTCCCTTCTCTCTGCAGCGATCAAACGACTGAGCACAACAGAAGCTGACAGTCTAAAAGGCTATATACAGACACAGGTGTGGGTGGTGTTTGTTTTTTTAAAACATTTTTCTTTTCTTTTTAAATATCCCTTTTCTTAAAAGACAAGCTAGTATACTGGAAAAAGGAAAAAAATAAAATAAAAACCAAGACAACTTGAGTACCCTCATCTTTATTCGGGAAGGGGAGAAAGGGAATTCTGGGATGCCCGCCCCCCCCACTCCTCCCCCCTGCTCCTGGCTAAGCTCACTCTCTCTGCCCCCTCTCTGGCGGGCGCGGGGAGAGGACAGGCGGGCGTGGGCTCTGGAACTAGCAGAGGAGGTGAGTGAGGCGGGAGGGACGTGGGGTGCCCAGGGCAGGAAGGGGCAGCTAGCGTGGTGTCTGCATGCAATGCCAGGGTGGGAGGCTGGGGGCGTGCGCCCTGAGGGGCCCGGCGGGCCGGCGGTCAGGTGCACGGTTGCGGAACGGGGCAGTGCAGGGGTGCGGGGCTTCTGAGGCTTTGCTGTCTTCTGACCTGGCCTCCCATTTGTGCCTCCAGGCCTCAGCTTGCCTCCTGTGTGGAATGAGCGGGCATCCGCCCTCTCAGGCTGCAGGGGAGGAGGAGGAGGGAGGCAGGAGAGGCGGAGGAGGAGGGAGGCCGGGCGCCGGGGGTGTGAGCGAAGCTAGGGGTGGTACACAGGCAGGGCTAGGACCCCAGCAGGCGGCTACCATAAATACTACCAAGTTCAGCCAAACCCGAGCTATACTGTGTCTTGCGCTAAACGTTCCTCTCTCTCCGTGTCTGTCTCCCCTTTGTCCCCCCCCACCCTCCCCATCCCGGCCGCCCGCTAATCCGACTTCTCGCCGTCATCCTCCTGGTGGGGGTCACCGTCGTGCCCATTCTTGTCTTCCTTGGAGAGGTGGGCCTGGGAGCCCAGCGCAGACAGCGAGAGAAGGCCGGTGCCGGCGCTGACCGCGGGCAGCGCAGGCGGCTGCAGCCCCACAGGCAACGGGGTCAGGGGCAGGGCCAGAGCCTGCAGCTGGGACAGCTGATGGGCTTGGAGCTGCTGCTGCAGGGCACACGGGAGGGAAGCGTGAGCTGCCGTGGGCCCACCTGCCCACCCACCCGCCCGCGACCCAGACGTACCCGGATGATGGAGTTCAGCTCAGGAGCGGTGACCTGCTTAGCCCTCTCGATGGCTCCCAAGACCTGCTGCTGGTGCTGGAAGGGGTGTGGGGTAGAGAGGAGCCAGGTGCTATATGCCCTGATCTCTGTGGGGGTCTGAGGCACAGAGCCCAGGGGAAGGCGCGCCCCACCATGGCTTTCCATCCCATCAGAAAACCCCTCCCTCTAGCCGCTTCTGTTCACCGAGTGGGATTCGCAGAAGACCCAAAGGGGTTGGTGCCAGGTACTCAAGAAAACGCCATCGGGTGAGTCTAAGAGAAACCCTGGATCGTGACCTATTCAATGCGATACACCAAGAAGTAAATGTACAGTGCCCAACCTGGCCAACTGTACAGGGAAGTCTTGATCCTAAGAGCTCACAGACTGTGCTCTGAGATCTGCTAACCCAAGCTCCTCTCCTTCTACAGCTGGGGAAGGCCCAGGGGACTCTGGCAGTGCTGGGGTATGAGTCTAGGTTCAGGGCAATCCCTCCCGAGGCAATTTATTGCCCACACCCCAGTCCTCCCTACGAGTCCATCTCTCCTGCCATCAGATGCTAGACTCTGCCAATCTCCCTTTTTGCCTTGCCTACCAGGAAGCCCCTGTCATGAAAGGAAAGCACAAGTCTAGGTCTTCAGGGCCCCAAGAACCCCCATCTCTAGGGTTTTCATAGTGTCCTTCTGGAATTGTCCCTGAGCATGCAGGTCACCCGAAGGGCCCCAAGATAAAGTCAGGGATTAAAGAGGAAATGATGAAAGATCGACAGGAAACCTGGCAGAGAGCAGGAATGGCAGTGGTGGGGAATGTGGAGTGGGCCCCACACCAAGAGTCTGAAAATCCCAAAAAGCAAAAGCAAGAGCTCAGCGCATGGCTCCTCAGGGTGTGTGTCCACGGGTCCGTGTGTACATCTGTGTTGCACCTGTGCATGTCTGTCTGTCTGCATACGTGAGCTGAGTGCCTTCCCCGTACACACCCCCTCTGGTTTCTGGCCTGAGGCCACCCACAGGGCCTGGCAGACAAATCTCAAGAGGGTTAAACGCAGAAGCAAGAAGGGGAAAAAAAAAATCTTGGTGTAGTCTTTGGCATATCTGACATTTTTACCCGTGAAATGACTCACTCAGGCTGGGAATTCCACAGCAGGCTGAGGCCCCTCCCTCCACCGCCCTGCACCCCTGGGGTTTCTCCAAGCTGGGGATTCTTCTGTGTCTGGGAGGTCCAGAGAGGGGAGGTGTGTGCCTTGGGCATCAAACAGCTGCTGCCCCAGAGCATGGGGGAGGCAGGGGTGGGGTGGGGTGGGGGGCCAGGCCCTGGGGCAAGTTCACAGTCCAACTACCTCCTCCTCCCTGCAGCCCCCGGGGCGCCACTCACCTCTTGGGAAAGGTAGGGTAGGACCTGGGCACAAATCCCATTCAGCCTCTTGACGATTTCAGCCTGCAACACACAGAGAGGCTTCAGTCCAGGGCAGGCAGCAGGGGGCAGGTGCAGACCAGCCCCAGGAGGCCTGTGAGGTTCTACCCAAGAGGAGGCCAACTCTGCCCAGGGTCAGATCAACACCTCCAGACTATGGGCCCCTGGTCAGCAGCCAAGGTGGGATCTAATGCTGGCTCTCAGCTCTGCAGCTAACAGGGGAGGCTCAGGACCGATTCCAGGCTTGGGTGGGGGGGGGGCGCGCGCTAGGTGGGGGAGGGGCCAGGGGGCCACCAACATCATTATTTTTCTGACATCCCTGATATCGGCGTACTCAGGGCACAGATGGCCAAAGCAAGGAGAGAGGGCAAGGGGCAATCCTGGGGTTCACAGTGTGCTGGCATGTCACCCTCCTCCCAGGGAGGCCTGAGAAGGAACAGGGGGAGGGGCTCAGAAGGTAACAGGATCAGGTATGGAGGCCTGATCAGACTTGGTGCACAGCCAAGGGGCCGGGCCCACCTGTCTGGGGTTGCAGAAGTGGGCGGGGGGGGCGTACCTGCTTGTGCATCTCAATGTTCAAGCCATAGGACATCTCGTAGTACTGCATGGTGGGGAGACAGAGAGAAATGGGGGTGGGCAAAGGCTGGGGGGTGTGCCAGAGGGGGACGGATGGGGACACACACACACACACACACACACACACACACACACACACACACACGGGGTAGGGAGCACGAGGGCAGGTGGGAGGTGCCCACGCCGGGAGCAGAAGCCCAGGCACCTGGTGGAACTGCTTGCCGGGAGCTGGGGGAGCTTCAGGGCCCCAGCCAGGCCTGGCTCCCCTGGTTTCTGGAATAATTATCCAGCCCTCTCTCCAACACACATACATTCCAGGACTCCTAATCTTTTATCTTTATGTGTCTTGTCTGCGGGTGGCCCCAGACTCCAGGGAAGTTTGCCTTCCTGGGTATAAATAATCAGGATAAACAAAGCCTGCTGGGTCTGGCTCTGGGGTCAGTAGCCCCCCTCCTCACGCCCCAGATCTGACCCTGCCTCCTCCCCTCCTCTAAAGCCCCTCGTGGCTCCCCATCATCCCTGGGGGTGGGGCAGGGGAAGCCAAGTTCATTCCCAGGACTTCCCATGGTTTCTTCTCCCTTGCCCAGCAAGCTCCTACTCATTCTTCAAGACCCTAGCTGCAATGCTCTATCCTCCATGTGGTCTTCCTTAGGCAGTGTGCCCCCCTCTGGAATCCCCCCTTCCTGGGTCGGTCCCTCTGCTCCAGCCCTCTAGGGCCAGGAGGGTCGGTGTCTGGCTCTCTCTGCCTCATTGACAGCCTGGGAGAGCTGGGCTCTGGGCTGGACCAAGGCAGCGGCTTTTTGATGTAGAAACTGCCACCTGGTGGGTAGGGATCCCAGCAAGTGATTCTGGCAATGCGCAGAGGCAGGGTCTCAGATGTCAGGCAAAGAATGCGGTGTCACCCCTTCCCTCCCTCCAACCTCAAAGGACGTCAGCTTCCTGCTCGGATGCCCCCCCCCCCCAGGAGTCCTCCTTCTGAAGCTTGGGCAAGGAGGAGTTAAGGCTGGGATGCCCGAACTGTGGGGGCAGGGAGGGGAACTGTGGGGACAGGGAGGGATCCGGCAGCTCCCCCAGCCAGTTCCTGGCTTTGGCTTACACAGCAGCGGCCTCCTCTGTTGCCAAGGACAGCCGGGGGACCTGGCAGGCCCACGCTGCAACCCGGTGGTTTGGCACCTGGGCCACTGCCTGGGCCGGCAGCCAGGCCAGCAAGGCGGCCTCAGCCAGGCCCCAGGGGCCAGCTGAATGCAGAGCAGACCCCGAGTCCTCGTCCATCCCCCAGGAGGTGGCTAGGGTTCAGGTAGCTGCCAGGGGTGGAGGAGGGTCTGGGGTCGCCCCTGCCCTGCCCTGCCCGACCGGGAGGCCAGCTTACCATCACATAATGACGCTGCATCTCTGACTTCTCGCTGGCCAGCTTGTCACATTCCAGCTTCAGGCTGAAAAAGAACAAGGGGAGAGGGACCAGGGGCCGGGCTGAGGTCCCCCACTGTGCAGGGGGGACCCAGAGCTTTGGTGGGGGAGAAGGACGTCCTCCTCTGTGAAGATGGGGCGGGGGGGTTGGAGCTCAGGCTCCCTAACTGTAAAACGAGGATCATGAAATCACCCTCATAGATCTGGTGGCAGAAAAAGTAATGGGTAATAATATAGATAATAAAAGGCGGAGCAAACACGTGGACTGTGGGTCAGCCAGGGACTCAAAGAAACTTTTCCCTATCCGGAGACTCGATGAGATCGGTAATATTTGTGTCACCCTCATTTCACCGATGATGCAATGGGTGCCCAGAGAGGTTGAGTTAACGCTCAAGGTCACACAGCCAGAAAGCAGGCTTCAGAGGCCACAGTCCCAAATCCCTGGGGAAAACTAACCAGCCAGGGAGGAAGGAATAGAAACCACAGAAGGGCAGAAAAGGTGGAGGGTGGAGGGCTGGCTGGCAGGGCTCTGGGTTGGACTCACCAAGGAATCTCAAAGGGGGCCCAGCCCCTCTTATAAGCCTTGATTTCACTAGGGGGTAAAAGTTCCACTGTTGGGTAACAGAGATGGGTAACAGCCTCTCTCAGGCTCTCCCAGCAGGGTTAAGCTTAGGGCATTTCTCAAAGCCCACCCACCCTGTCCCCAGTGAGGAGGGCAGAGAAAGACCTAGACAGCTGACAGCACAGACGCGAGCCAGACGCACTGGATTCAAAGTTCAGCCCTGCTACCTTGATGTTGTGTGGCTCTAGGCAAACCCCTCTACCTCCCTGGGCCTTGGTCTCTGCATCACCAAGTACCAAACTCCCAGGGTGGGGTGGTGAGAAGGAAACGGATTAAGACAAGAACAGCTTCTGGAACAGGGCCTGGTATACAGTAAACACCCAATAAATACTTGATCTTATGGTCCTCCCAGGGGCCTGGCGTTTCCCTCCACCAAACTGTGACTTGTACGCCCAGATTCAGAGAAGAGCCGCAGTTTGTGTGGCTATGCGCCCCACCCCCCCAGAGTTTGTTTTCTCTCATTTTCTTTAAAAAACGCTATTTGTTGATACCATTCAAACAAACAAACAAACAAAAAAAGGTAATTTCACTCCAAACTCTGAATTTCTGGCCTTTCTTGAGGGTCTGGCAAATCTTGTGTGCACCCCCAATGTGGCAGGACCCCTCACTGTAGCCAGGCCTGCCAAGCCAAGTCCCTAAACGATCAGGCAACCAGAACAAAGTTCCTGGGGTCTGACTTTCAACGGCCTGTGCCTCAGTTTCCCTGTCTGAAAAATGGGCACAATAACAGGAAAACGTGGAAGATTGAACAACAGGATGTCGGCTCAGTATTTAGCACGTGGGGAGCATGGGAAGTTCCCCCAAAAGGTGAAGTTTTTGAAAGTATATGCATATATTTATATCTATTTCTCTTCTTGGAGAAAACCCAGGCTCCTTCTTGGAACACTTTTGTGCAGGCAAACTGAGGTCCAGAGAGGGCCCAAGGCCCTGCTGGCGTTTGTGATGGTGACCAAGGACTCCCTTCTGATTCCCAGGCAAAGCCCCCCCCCCCCGCCACTCTCTAACAGCGCCTTGAGAATCTGCATTCTTCAACCCAGAGATTGGCTGCAAATCTGTTTGCCACTTCTCTGCTGTGCATCCCCAGAAAATCTCTAACCTCTCTGGGCTTAAATTTCTTTAACTGTGAGATGAAGATAGTACCAGGTCCTTCCCCTTAGATCCTGCACTTGGCAAGCCCTTTACAATGTTAGAACGTTAAATTCTGGAGGAAGAGCCACCCTTGATTATCTGTTAGGACGCTAGGAACTCCTTCTCCAAAACTAAGCAGAAAGAAACAGAACAGGCTACAGAATGTTTTCTTTTGGGGGTGGGGAGGTAGAGGTTCCATCCCCCGACTTCTTGGGAGGTCTTTTATCCAAGGGGGATGGGGGTGGGGATGGGGAGAGGGACTCTGAAGCCACACAGATAATGTTCTTACCTTTGAAATGGGCTGTCTTGACGTCTAGGTGAGTTTAATATTAGAAAAGTGCTCACGACAGCGCCTACCACATAATAGGACGCTCTCTACCTACATTTTTTTCAAATATATGTACGTAGCAGTGGCCACAACCTTCCCTCCAGACCTGGGTGGGGGGTCTCCACCATCCACCCTGCAGGGCCTCTGGCCCCCAGCTCACCTGTGGTACTGAGCCTGCAGCAGCTGAAACTCGTCTTTTATGCGGTCGCAGGAGTCTGAGGTGGTGAATTTGAGTTGCTGGGGTAGGTGAGACGAGCCCTGTGGGGAGGGGGGGGCGACCCGGGTCAGGGCCAGGCGGGGCGGGGCGACCCCCGAGGCAGCGGGCCGGCCGGCACAGCTGCAGCGCCCCCCCCCCCCCGCCCCACTTCCCGGGCCCGTGTTTACAGCCCCTGGAGCGGCCCCCGCCCTCGCTTCCTGCCCCCGCCTCTCCCGGGGGAAGGCGAGGGGGTGGGTGCGCCCGGAGCCGCCTGGTTCCCCGCCACCCCCAGGCTGTGGGGGTGCGTTTTAAGGTCCGCCCTTGGTGGGGGGCAGCGTGCGCCCTCTACCGCCCCTCCAATGCGCCGGAGGTGGGGTGTGCACATCCGAGAGCCCCAACTGCCTCTGCGAGGGGGGGAGAAGGCGTCCTAGAGTCCCCCTCCCCAAGTTGGTGGGGGCGCAAGTCCTCCCTGCAAAGTCCCTTTGGGGAAGGGGCCTCTCCCAGCGCCCGAAATTACCCGGGGGGGCCCTCCACCCCAGATTCCCAGCACCCTTCTTCCCCGCCACGCTCTTCCGGGAGGGGTGCTCCTCGGATCCCCCCCACTCCCAGGCCCCAAAACCAGCCCCGGTGCTCTGGGGCTCCCCGGGTGCCCCAGGCTCGAGGCCAAGGCCATCCGAGGCCCGGCCTGGCTGGGTTGGGGTGTGTGGGGGGGGAAGCATGCCCCAGGGGTTGGGGGAGGGGGGAATCCGGGCCGGGAGCTAGAGGGGACCGGGTCTGGGAACTAGGGGGCGAAACCGGGTCGGGAGCTGGGAGAGAGACCGGGACCTCCGGGGGTGTGGGGGGAGCCCGGGTGGTGGGGGCGGGGGAGTAGCTCTGGGCCGGGAGCTGGAGGGGACTCGGCCCAGGAGTTGGGGGAGGCGCCGAGCAGGGAGCTGGCGGTGGGGGGCGGGGGGAGAATGGCCCGGCCGGGAACCGGGGGGGGGGGCGGCGGATGGCCCGTCTGGGAACTGGGGTGCCAGGCGCCGATCTGAGGGAGGTGCGCGGGGCCGGGACCCGGGCGGGGGTGGGGAGGAATGGCCCACATGAGAACTGGGGGTGCCAGGCGCGGACCTAGGGGGATGCCGGGCCCGGAGCTGAGGGTGGGGGGGAGGCGCCGGGCCGGCGGGCCCCGCTTACCGAATGCCTGCTTTGTGGAAACATCATGTCAGTCGCGGCGGGGGGGGGGGGGGGCGCCCCCGGCTGTGCGCCCCGGCTCGGGAGGCTCGGGGCGCCGGGCGGCCGCGCCTTTGTCCCGGCGCCGATCGGCAGCTCCCGGGGCCGCCGCCGCCGCCGCCGCCGCCGCTGCTGCTTCCCGGGCCCCGTGCGCGCCGCCGAGGGGGGCGCGCGCCCGGGGAGGCCTGCGGATCCCCACCCAGCCCGCCTCCCCAGCCGGCCGGCGCAGTGACCTTGGGCACGGCGCGCCCCGCCCCGGGGCCACGGCCCCTCCCGGCGGGGTGGCGGGGTGGCCCGGGCCGCCGCCGGGCCTCGGTTTCCCCATCTGGCAGAGAAAGGGCCCGGCCGCCCCCATCTAAACCGCCGACTCTGTCATGGCGCGACCTGGACGCGTGCCAGGGACATGCTCTGTAACCTTGGCTCACTGACTGTTTTCTCTCGGAGCCTCGGTTTCCTCTTCTGTAGAAAGGCCGCGGTAATCGCGCCGACCTCATGGGAGCCATCCCTTCAACGCACATTGATTGAGCGCCTACTGTGTGCCAGGCCCTGCTCCAGGACCTGGGGGTGGGTTGGGGGTGGGGGTACAAAGTCCCAGCCCTGGTGGAGATGACATGAGACAGACGGACAAATGCACGAGCCCAAATCCCTGGCAGGTCAACCGGTGGTAAACCGCTATGGGGCAAATGAAGCAGCAGGGAG